TGTTACTACATGAAAGATCAAGTCAACATCAGAAGCAACAGATACAGGCTCCAAGTCAGCAAAGACACAAAAGATACACTTTACTTTCAGCATGTGCATCATCACAAGGAGACAGCTACATGCTCAACCTCATGAAGTTTCTAACAGACTGAACTTCTTGGAAGTTTCTCACAAACCAGGTCAGGCGCCCCAGTTCTTCCCATCAAACTGACAACAAGCTGTAAGGAAAACACTGTTTAGCAGCACCAGTCATGTATGGTTCTTGAGACTAGATAAAATTTTAACTGAAGCTGGAAGGTCAACAGGCTGACAACATTATGTGTGCAAGCTGAAATAACTTGCATATCCCTCCTTTTGTCTAATGTCAAAATGTTTAATGTGTTTGATCTACAAATTGTCAGCTTTGCACATTAAGGAAAAAAGGTCCATATGGAACATTTTGTTCATACTTACATATACTCAAATTTACAAAAAGCTCTCAGAAATCAGAACATCTTCAAGCAAGCATTTTCTGCTTTATTAAAGAGTGCAAGTTTAAAGTCATCACATCTCCAGAATGTGAAGTTCTCTTAGAAGCAGTGACCCATACTCCCTTTCAGCTGAAGCAAGCTCAACAAGAATTCAATTTTATAGTATTAGTATTCATGCAGCTACTAAAAAATTACTTAGTTACTGACAACACGATATTTCATAGAGCTTTACACTTCATGTGCTTCCATAAATTAGGGAATTGGAGCTAGAGACTTTGAAAGAACATTGGAGGTGATAGACATTGCAGTCCACAGTTTTTCTTGCAAATTTTAAATAAAATTAGTTAACTGAATAGGAATATTGAGGATATCTGGGAAAGAATTTAAGGACAAAACAAAGTTGGTGAAAACAGCAAGCTGGGATAAATAAGTAAATATGTCAAAGACCAAAAGAATAAACTACCAAGGTAGGGGTGGGAAATATGCAGAAAGAAGTGATAAGGAGAGTTTAACTTTTAGAAATAAAATTAAGAAAAAAAGAAAAGGAAGGAAAGCAGAAACAAAAGTCAAGAACATACACAGCTATGATTTTGTAATAGCTCCATTTGGGAACAATTCTTTCTTTTTTTTTTTTTCCTTTCTTCTCCCCTTTAGCCACTTTACTGAATGTGCTGTTTCACAAACACTTTAAATCAAGTCAGACTGAAAGGGGCAATATTTCCCCTCAGCACTGACTGATAGTTCCCACTCCCACCCTTGTGCTAGCTGCTGTGGAGCTTTTCAGTGTTATTGTACTGTAAATGAGGCAGAGCAGAAGCATCAGTAAGCAAAGTATATTCATGTCCTCAAAAGCAGTGAGAATAGGTCTCTTGCCACATTTGCATAAGGTCTCCAAGTAGTATGTTCAGCTTCCTAAAGAGCTCCAAAGGCCACTGACTAGAAAGATACCAAAGCAAGCTCATTTGCACATAGGCTAACACACTTCACTAGGGGCATCCCTAGCAGGAGTGGCTTCGAGCCTTCCTGGCAGCATGGTTTACTGCTGAACAGAGAAACAGCTCACCCGTCAATTCCGTGCCCCCACAGCCAACTTCCTCTCCTAGCAGGCACTGAAAGCAAGCCTAGCACAGCCAAAACAAGAGACCTGCCATGGAAAACCGCCATGAGGAGAAGCAGCGATGCATTTCCCAGTGCTTGCAAACAAGTGCTACATGAATCACAGTTCACCTTGCTCCTAACCACAACCCCGTGCTTTACTAACCACTCCACTCAGCAGCTTGAAAAAGTAGTAGCCTACTGATGGGTACCACATAGGCAGCACCTGCCTGAGTATATGCCACTAACAGAGAAGTTTACCTCTGTCAGAACTGAAAGGGAGAGAAAAGGAAAGAGCATTCATTAGCTATCCCTGTGGCACATACTTCCTGTTAACGACCCTCTTAAATGCGGAGATTGATCAGAAAAACAAGGAAACTCGCAGAAGGGCTGGGACCTGCCCTTTGGTCTGCTTTTCACATCTCATGACACTTGCAATAATGAAAGGTGACACCTCAGAACCAAATCCTCACAAGTATACTGATGCAAAAACGTGGACTGAAAGACAGCTCTGCATTTCTGTGATTGTTCTCCCATTCAGCTCTTAAATGCCAATCTGTAACAGCGTAAGTATACAGCTTATTTTATGGTAAGCGTCACATATATTATCACCTCTTATGATCCGTACTATCAAATGCCTGCCAACACACTGACTTCTGCCAACTGCTTTTAGTTTCTTTCTCTCCTTTTCCAGTGTTATATTTGGAGAGAGGAAAAAAGGAGAAAAGAAGGTGACTGACTCCAAGTAGAAGGAAAATAATCCGAAATCCCTTAAACAGTTGCTCTGTTAAATTGACACAAGTTTAACAACGTGTACTTGGCAGGTTCCTCCTGCCACGAATACAAGAACCTTTTTTTTTAAAAAAAAAATTGAAAAAAAAAATAAAAAAAAAAACTCACTCAAAGCAGGGAAATCTTTTAAACATACAGTACAGACATGACTGAATGATGGCCTGCTGGCTGCTAAAGCCACTTATCAGTCCTGCTCTAATTCCTAATCGCAGGGGTTCAAACAACACTGACTTCATGACCATAAAACAGTGTCCTTTCAGAATCTAAGAATTTTTAATAGGATAATGACTGAGCAGGGAGGAAAACCTGACTGCCTCATTCTCCTTCAAGCCAAACCTTCACAACAGTGCAGGGATGCAGCAGAAAAGAAATCCTGCTAAACCTCATCAGAGCTGCACAGACAAATAAACCAGAAGAGACATTACTTTTGCCTTCTCTAAGTATGCTGTATGATGTTTTATAGTTCTCAAAATCCCACTACCTTCTACAAAGATGTTTAATGCAAGGGCATCCTGCACATTTGCACCACAGCACAACAAAGAGAACTACTAAATTGTACAGATGATTTACTTCTAGAAAACTTAAAAAAAAAAAAAAAAGAAAAAAAAAAAGAGTGATAGCAAAGTCAGAAGCAAAGAACAAAATTATACCTGATGGCCTCAACATCCCAAGCAAATCCTTATCTGAAAGTCACACAACTAGAAAAGTTGTGTTTGGCAATCTATCAAAAAAGAAGCCTGCCACTGGAAAAGGAGGGCGCTGCCTGTTAACATGCAGGTGCGCTGGCAGAGCTCAGTGGAAACATTTCCCAGTTACGGTTAAATCTACAGCCATTAAACCTCCCAGCCAAATCCATCCGAAGCATCAAAATAGGAAATCCACACATCTTATCTGTGAACGTGAAAGCTCCACGGTCTGTGTGTCAACACGGAAAATATTAGACCATAATCCAACACCACTTCATAGGCTGGACACTGTGAGAAAGAAAGTCTATGGGCCCAAACCTTAAAATCAAAGGGGTTTCTATTAGGTAGAAAAAAAACAAAGGGCGGAAGGAAGGGTGGAGCACTACGTTATTCTCGATCTGCAATTTGCTGCAGAACGGTATTGCTGTCAGGAAGTACAGCACATGCAGCAGTGTTTCACCAACAGTTACACCTTTATAATGCCGTGTAACTTCTACATAAGTTTTTTTTAGGTTAATACTAGGGCGAAGGGCATAAAAGCACTTCTCTTAGGAAAGCGCATGCAATCTGTTGCATCTCAACAGTGAGAAAACAGAAGTACTAGCTTTTAAGTACAGAGGGTGTGAGGGTATCTCTTTATATAATGACTTCTGAATCACAGATACTCTCAGTGACCATGTAAGACTGTTACAGAATAAGTAGATATGAAGAATTTTTCCTATCCACTCAAAAGCTACTTGAATAGTACATCTATTAAGTTTTTCCTGGCATGTGTAGAATGTTAGGAAGAAAAAAAAAAACAACTGTAAGGGTATAAACCTGCTCATTATCCTTTCCCCCTTTCTTTATAAAAAATAAAAAATCAGACAATGACATTTGCACCTAATTTGCAAGCAGCAGAGAAGACAGCACAGTGACTTTCAGACAGATTACAAGACAGAAAAGGAAAACAACTTCCCCTCTGCAACCTCCCTTGGGCATCAGGTACACCCCGCAGTGGTCCCATACACACGCTGGTACCCACAGACTTACACTGACAGCAGTAGCTTCCTATACTTGCTTTGCATCCTTCTGCTGTTTAGCCATGTTAATCTATTTTCTCAATGGCAAGTTTTTAAAGCTGCTGCCGGACTTTCAACAGCTTTGTGAAATGTGAGTTGTGGATATTTTCCTGACAAGCACGCAGGAGGGACTTAAGCCAGCAAACAGACACCGCTGCTCTTCCTCTTCCTTATCTAGTTACCGGCCATCAGATTAGATGTCTACCACCTACTTACACAGCTTCAGAAACAGGAGGGGGGAAGGGGTACTTAAGGAAAGAGAGCCTTCAAAGAGAGCACGCTTGCAGCTCTAACTGAAAGAACTTTGCAAAAATGAAAATGCATTTCTCTTCACTGTGTAACATGCCACATACGTCACTCAGTTGTACAGGAACGACACAGAAAGAATGGAACGGAGGAACAATGAATGATCCATAAATGCATCAGAGATTATATAACAGAGGATGCGATGGCACACGTGTGTTTGGGCATTTGAGGGCAAAGGAGGAGAGAGCTAAGAGGAAGAGGAGGAAACGTCCTCAGACGCTAAGACGGGGCGCCGGACAGTTCTTACTCAATTTCCCCCTCTTCCTAAAAGATAAATGCTTTAACAGCAGGCAATCAGGCAGCCGAGGGACAACAGCAGGAGCAAAACCACTTGCTTACGAACCCTCTTCAAAACATCCCTTGCTGAAATTGCACCGTAAACGCACCGCGACAGGCAGCTCACAGGCAACCATGTTTACACTGGAGCAATTAATCCACGGCACGCTTCCTGCACCGCTGTTGCCGCTGGGCAGGATCTCGCTGGGCTTGTCGGACACGCGGAGCTCCTGCAGGTTGCGAGGTGCTCCTCTGTGAGCACCACCACCACCACCACCACCTCCTCCACCGCACCTCGGGCGAGGCGCACTCACCGTAATTTTTAGGGAGCTCCTCTATCTGCTCCACACCATGCTCGGGGGCCAGCCAGCCGGTTGCGTTAGCTCTGCAAGGCAAGAGAGGCTCAGAATAAACTCCAGGATGAAGCCTTGCAGATCTTGAGATCCGCCGCCCACCTCGCCTCGCCACATTCAGCACCGCCGGCACCCCAAACTCCGGGATAGGGGGACAACCCCCAGACACCACCCCCCCGAGTGCCCAAGAAAGAGGGGGAAGGAGGGCTGGGGGCGAGCCCTTGGGGCCGTACTTGCTGCCAGCTCCAACCCCCCCGCGCCCCTCGCCTCCCAGCACCGGGGAGGGGGGGGGACGGGGCCGGAGCCGGGCAGCCCCCAGCCGCCTACCTCCCTCCAGTGGCGGGCAGCGGGGCCAGCCAGACCCCTTCTCCTTCCTCCTCCTCCTCGTCCCCGGAGCGCTGTGCCGGCGCTATCCCATGCCGGGGCGCCACCGGCTCCCCGCCGCCGCTCTCACTTCCTCTTCCTTCCTCCTGCCGGCCGGGCCGCGACGTGCAGGCCGCCCGGGGGCCCCCGCGGCTCGGCGGCACCTGTGGGACGGGGACGGGGACAGACGGAGACCGGCCGCCCCCACCTCTATCCCGCCGCCCTGCCCGCTGCCTGTGACGGCCGCTCTCCCTCCCGCACAGGTCCCGCGGAGGGTCTCCAGCCTCCCCCGCCGCCCTCAGAGCGCGGCTTTGGGGCTTTTTTAGCCCTTTATGGCCGTGTTTCTTCCCCGACAGCCACCGACCGGCCTCGGTTCTGCCGCGGAAGACCGGCAGAAGTGCCCCCGCCCCGGCCAACAGAGGGCGGCAGCGGCCTGGCTCCGCCGACCTCCGGCCCTAAAAGCAGCTGGGGAGGTGAAACAGGGAAATAGGGCATCCTCGCTTCTGGTTCTCAGTCCCTCTCCAAGAAAAAAGCTCCCCAGGCACCAAGCGGCTGGGTTTTTCAACGCCTTGACCTACTGCTGCTGTGTGGACTATGCGTGGCACATCATAGGACAACCCATTAAATTCTTTACATCTCACTTCAGCAAGAACTGATGGCACAGCCAGGAAGCCCTACTGTCCTGCATCGACTTCTGACCTCTGCCAGAACAAAATGTACTGTTGGTCAGCTATTACATGGCACCTGAAGGCCAAAACCTGCAAAATGCTGGCTATAATCTTGCAAGGAGCTGTGCCTTGGAGTGGCTTTCTGCAGGTCAGAAGTCCCCAGGGATTTTCTACGAAACCACCCTCCTGTGACACCCAGGCCTCAGACCACAAAAGCATATGCTGGGGCATCAGTGGATTTTCCCGTGGCTTTTTTGCCCTGAGGGCTCTGCAGTCTCTTGTGGGGGCTCTTACACCCCACACAAGGGCTGGGGGCTTTCTAGAAGGGGAAGCAGCCTTTGGGTCTCCCCTTAGGTGCACCATGTCAGTGACACACGGGGGCTGAGCAGATACTTGTGTGTGAGGCACAAAGTGACATGACTCCCCGGAGTCACGCGTCGCTGTATTTAATCTAATGTAGTGTTGACTGACAGCACACCTCAACAGCCTGGAAGCAGGGCTCCCTAATGCAGGGCTCCGCATAAGTTCTGAAACTTCTCCGCAGCAGGAATTCCCCACAATCAAGGGACATTTCCTTAAAGCCATTGAGTTTTGGGCCTCCCTCCTATGGTAAAAGCCATGGAGAAGCTAGACTGAGTACTTCACACTGGGAATTGCTGTTTCCTGTGTTTAATATACATTTCAAAGCACCTTATTACACTGCTTTACTAAGGTAGAACTCCAAAACTGAAAGCACAAGGTCCATATAGATATAATTCTTTCTACATGAAGCCACTTATCAAACCATTCCAAGAGTTTTTTATGGCTGTGTAGTTTATTGAAAGAAAGACAACAGCAACACCAGGTGAATGGCTGTTCAGTTGGCAGCTGAACTATTTTTGTAACACTGAGTTGTTTGGGGTTTTTTTCTGTGTGTATGTGTACCTGTGTTGTGGTGCCTGAAACAAAAGCCAGAAGTGTTTACAAAATAGAAAAGGGCATGGTAAATGTAACTGAGATGTACAAGATTGACTCGTTTACCTAATTTTCCACTGTTAGTGTATGGCCAGTTTCCCTGTATGCTTGTTTGGGGGGTTGGCTTGGAAGATGAACACAAATATACATGGTGGTAGACATCTACATGATGCTTGGAAGAACATTAAGAATGAACACTATTTGAAACGCAGAATTTTTAACACCACATTTTTGATTTTCCTCTTTTGCCTCTCAGGCTCAGCAACAAAAATGATTAAAATTGATTTCAGCTGTGTACTACCACAATAGTTGTATTTTTAAAAGGGGCGGGAGATTTTTTTTTTAATTTATTTACAATGCTATTGTTATCCAATTTAAAAGAAAAAAAAAATCTACCAGTTTCTGGGGACAAATTTAAGAACACTGTTCAGTTGCAACATTTGTGAGAAAGAGCAAAGAAGAAACCCAGAGAGCATAGCCCAGCAAAGTCCTCTGTTTATCCATAAACAATATTGCACCAGGAGTAGTAGTATTTCTGTTCTCCAAAAGACTTTACTTGGAATGCATACGTACAGAAGACCTTGGCTGCTATGGGCATTTCCTCATTTATGTAATAGTAGTGCCTTACATGGTGTCTTTCACCAAAACACGTGTTGTCATTACAACTGCTGCTTTTCATACTGGAGTTGTTCTTATGTTGTGGGTGTAAGATGTTCACTAAAACATTCTAGAAAGCCAGAAGAGGGAGCGCAGGAACAGAAAACACCAAGAATTAGGCATTTTAATTTGTATGGATATTTCAGCTGGGACCTTAAAAAGACAACCAAACTAAAACAAACAAACAAACAGAAAAATGTTTCCAGGAAGAATTCCTGTCCTGCATGGCTCACCTGACAAGGATGTATCAGGATCTTCCAGTAGGTCCTAATCACCTGTTGAAACCTGGCCTGGAGAAATCTCAGCTTGTCTATCCCAAAACTGTAGAGAGCATCAGAGCCATTAATCACTTTTGCAGTGAAAACCTTAGCTCCTGAGATGAAAGAGCCTCTGACAATTTTTGAAGAAGTAGTTTTGTCATAGTGTTTCTGGCCAAGGCCTTGCTGAGGCACTGATTAGTCAAGATAGCTTTTGTTACAGCCACTAGCAAAGATGGTTGGATTTTACTGTGCTTATGGACTTTACAAATTGCCCTTCATAACATCAGTATTTTATTTGTATATAATACAATTACTACAGAATCTTATTTGTAACCATCAATCCACACAGAGGTGCCAGTCGGGATACAGAAACAAAATACAGGGGTATTGTTGCATTTTGACTTTTTTGAAGTCACAGATAAATTTATCTTTATTTTGACAGTGTGAGCTATCTCTTGTGGTTGAGTTAAAACATTTATATATGCATGCACGCATGTGCATGTAAGGCCTATTAGATATTTCTGAATAGGTCCTGAAGATCTGACCTTGTGTTGGGTCTGTCTGAGCTGGAGTCACCTTTTCCCTGCAGCAGCCCGCACAGTGCTGTGCTCTGCACTCGTAGCTGGAACAGCACTGATATCACTCCAGTGTTGTGTCTATTGCTGCGTAGTGCTGGCACAGCATCAGGACTCCTAAGCCCCCAAGAGCCAGCAGGCTGGGGGTGGGCAAGTGATGGGGAGGGGACATTGCCGGCCCAACGTGCGCCAAAAGGACTGTGGTGGTTTTACTCAGGTGGGCAGCCAAACTCCACCACAACCGCTCTCTCACTCCCCCTCTCCTCAGAAGGAAGGGGGAGAAAATACAACACAGAGAACTCGAGGTTTGAGATGAGGAAGGTTTAATTAAAGGGAAAGGGAATGGGAAGGAAAAACAGATACAAAAGAAACAATCAGTCCACGCGGAAGCACAGAGAGAGAGAAAAATTATTCTCTACTTCCCATCAGCGAGCGGTGTTCGGCCACGTCCTGGGAAGCAGGGCCTCAAACCCGTAGTGGTTGTTCAGGAGGAACAGCCCCCTCCCCCACGAGAGCCCCCCCTTTTATTGCTGAGTCTGACATCAGGTGTTATGGAATATCCCTTTGGTTGGTTTAGGTCAGCTGCCCCGGCAATGTCCCCTCCCCATCACTTGCCCACCCCCAGCCTGCTGGCTCTTGGGGGCTTAGGAGTCCTGATGCTGTGCCAGCACTACGCAGCAATAGACACAACACTGGAGTGATATCAGTGCTGTTCCAGCTACGAGTGCAGAGCACAGCACTGTGCGGGCTGCTGCAGGGAAAAGGTGACTCCAGCTCAGACAGACCCAACACAGACCTAAATTCACAAACAATGACATTGATAAAAATGGACTGTATGAGAAACTCCAGGCTTGTTTTTCTGTGCCGCAATATGCTTGCAGATCTCCATAGTCTGGCCCCTAAATTATAGCTTCCAGTTTGCGCTAATAGACATAGATATGTATGCATTTTATATTCATGTATACATCAATGTGAGCATCCTAGGGAAGGGCATTCAAACAAGGTCACTATGACATGAGGATTATTATGAGTCGGTTTTAGTATATCTATTCAAGCTGTAAATCTGCTGCTTTATATACATTTCTATACAATATACATACAAAAAAAAAGGCAGCATTTGCAGAACAGCCAGCCTAAGGAAGAAGTAAATACATCTCATAAAAGACACAGTTAACCTGTGAACAACCCCACACTAACAAATAGTTTAGGTATTTTTATGCATTCATTTTTATCTCATCTGGACATAGATTTACAATAAAATCAATTGCTAAAAGTTATAATTAGGAAATAACAATACTTATAATCATCACGCCAATTATGAAATTTTGCAGATAAAAGCAGGAAAATGAAGAGGTCAAGAATTGCTCTTAGAGTGTTCATGCCATTAACCTATTGTACTTCTACAAAGAAAAACACATCTTTACAAACTGGTTTTACTGTCATTTACTTGCTGATCTATACTTTAGCATGCCTATAAAGGACCTCTTCAGGAGCTCATGAACAATAAAGACCAGAAGCAATTTCATTACATTGTTTGAAGGAGAAAAACTTGGGAAGAGCTAAAAGTTTGACAAGTTAAAAAACAAACAAACAAACAACAACAACAACAACAACAACAACACACACACACAAAAAAAAAAAAAAAAAAAAAAAAAAAAAAAAACCAAACACACAGACAAATAGCAATGCAATGCTGAAGCTCAGCAAGCTGCAGATGGAAACACAGCTTCTGTCCTGTCTCAGTGAAAGCAGTTATTCATTAAAGTTGCCCAGTGGCTGTCAGAGATTGGTCCTAACTATAAATGTTTAAATCAAACTAGGCATTTTGCTGATAATGTGGTCCAAGCCAAACTTCACTTTTATTACTTTAAGCAGAAGTTCAAGGGAGTTAGGTGGAGTTAGGTAATCTTCAGTGTGGAACAACTGCAGTAATACTTCCTAGCTTTATCATTTATTTATTCCTAGTCCTCTCATTGATTTTGATAAGAAGTTCTGCACATCAATTTTAACACCAAGGAACCTGCACAGTTCTCACCATGGGTACTTCTGAACCTGGGCAGAGCAATTTAACAGAGAGAAAAGCTTACCATAGCATTGCTACCAACAGGAGTGACCAAGTGGGGTTTTCACTCTCCGTTTCCAGGGCTCAATTCACCACTCACGGAAATGAGCAGAAATCTCTCTGTTGATAGGGTAAATGCCTAACACTGGTGGCTTAGCCACAGTGACTGAAGAGAGGTTAGCAGAGATGGCAAGAGAGCTTGAATCCATCGCAGCTCTGAGTT